GCGCAGCAGCGAGGGTGGGAAGGCATCGGGGAGTTGGTCGCCGGTGGCGAAAGTGCCTTCGGTGACGACGCTGTCGAGGATCGACTGAAGGAGCGCTTTCGTGATGTCAACATCATTTGGCCATCTACTCGGGTCTCTTCAGCATCGTCGTCATTGTAGAAGTTGCTATGGCCGCTGATTGCGTCGAAAACGGCGTTGTAGCCACCTTCCGCGTCGATAGTTCTGACTGTTGCCGCTGCTGCAGTCGCTACTGTCATCGTCACTACCGAACGACAGGTGACTTGTTGGAGATTCTTGACCGCTCGTATGGGGCTTTGACACGTCCTCCACGGGCTGGAGCATCGGCTCAAAGTTGCCGCGATGCTTTTACTGGGGCATGTCGAAGATCATCGGTCGGCGCGCATTGTGTGTCGAATCCGTGGCGACTCTTTGGAGAATGAATCGGAAAGTCCTGGGCTTGGATTTCCTGATTCGCTGTTCTGTGATAGAATGGGACGGCAGACACACTGATCTTGCCACGACAATCGCAACTTGGCCGCATACAACACAAACCAACACGAAGAGTTCGCCCATCGTTTGCAAGAGTAGCATTTGTCGACACACGACATGTAAGTGAGCTGATACTTGCAGAAGTTAGGCAGCACATCCAGTCGAGTCGCTCAAGGTGTCAATGGCGCATTCGCCCAAGCCGCTCATCATTATCATGAGCGACATCGACTCTTGCAGATGTGCCTCCAGTAGTACGACCACAGATTTTTGTGTCACCCAAATAATGTATTTTGTGCTACGAGCAAGAACTCGACAAAATGATATTCATTTGGAGTGCAATTAGACGTCCGCACCAATCGACACGGTCACCCGCTCGAAAGGTGCGGAAAGGAGCTGCCTTAAAGCGATTCCCTCGTCGCGGCGTTGCTTCCACTTGACAAGCGACGCCTTGTAGTACGAGTCGGTCTTGGTAATATCGCAGCGGGCGTTTTGGCCCGTGCCATAGGGCTCCGCCATTGCACTCGCGCCAGTGACGCGGTTGACGCCAGCGCCAAAATACTTGTTGGCAAAGTTGCGGGCATGGGCGATGCCGTTAAAGCCGACTTCAGTCATAGTTTGTGTCGGACCGCGGAGAAAGTCCTGGACGCGCGGGTGCGACGGCAGCCGCGCGCTTGGTTGGCACCACGTCTTGACTGGAGGTGCATCTTTAGCTCCTGGCAACAAGCGCAGGCGGAAGGACACGAGGTTCTGGTAAGCTGGCGTATTACTTAGTTGACGCGCCGTCTCCAAGATACCGGGTACGATCGAATCGCTGGCATGTTGGCACGGACCCAGCAGCGATTGCACAAAAAGAGCAGCGGCCGCCGGCACCGAGAGAAGCGTCGTCGCGATCGGCACGGTGTGAGTCTTGTCCGGGGGCCTCTGGGCCAGAGCAATGGCGAGAAACACGCTGCTCGGACTCTCTTGGCCGATTGCACGCCGCACGAGCGTGGACATATCGCCGTAGCTCAAATCCGATTTGGCTACGAGCTGCATGAAGACTCTGTCGGGCAGTCGTCCGTTTGCGTCCAGGTCGTGTAGTGCCGAAAGGGACGGCAGGGGTAAGGTCGTGGTTGTCCAGTTTACGGTTGATAAGAGTGTATCGGCAGCTTGGGGTGCCGCGCCGGCGAGCTGCACGACTGCTGCGAGGCCGAGGCGAGGCGCGACTGTCGTACTAATGAGCTCCTTGAACGACGACGTCCATCCAAAGGAGTGTATGAGCGCAGCAATTGCCGGTACCAACGTTGTTGTAGAGTCGGTTGGCGTCTGCTTGTCGTAGTAGCTGCTACGCGATGGCACCGGTGCTTTCGGCGTCGCTGCCCACCGGCGCAGCATGGCGACAGCAGATTCTCGCGCGGCAATTGTCGCGGCCGCTTGTAGAGCAGTTGCTAGCTCGGGTTCTGTTGGCGCAACCGCAAACGCAGCAATGCGCTCCAGCAGCGATTCCGCAGACGCTGCGTCACCACTGTCGACAAGCGACTGCACCCGGGAAAGAGCCGACTTGACACCTGCGACTTCTAGCGACCGTGCGCGCGGCCAGAGCACGAGCAGCGCCCGTCGGTACGTAAACTCGAGCGTTGGGCCGGCGTTGCCAGTGTAGCCCTCGTACTCGCGCTGTGTTGGCTCCATGTCTTCAAATACGTCGTCGACGTTGTTGACAAGCTCGGACTCTAACTGAATTTGGACTGACGCCAACTTGAGCTGCTCGTTGCGCTCGTTGACCCAATGTAGCACGCGCAGCGTCTCATCGTGGATCTCGTCCATCTCTGCGCTTTCCCCATCATCTGCTCCGTCGTCGTAGTCTTCGTAGCGACCGTATCGCCGGCGCTTGTTGTAGCCACCGCAGTGAGTCTCGCACGGCAGGCCCACGACGTGCTTCTCCATCAAGACGAGGTGGAGTTCGAAAAGCTCAGCT